GTTTTGATCGAAAATGACAGTTTTGACCCGAAACAGCCCGAAACTCATTTTTCATCGCGGTCGACATGGTGGGACCCGTATTGACCCGATGGGTTCAGTTTTGACAGAAAATGACGGTTTTGACCTGAAACGTCCTGAAACTCATTTTTCATCCCGGTTAACATTGTTTAACCCGTATTGACCTGGTGGACTCGGTTTTGACAAAAAATGACGGTTGACTCGAGAAAATATATTTTAAACTCTTTTTTTCTCTTTTTTTATTTATTATATATTTTTTTGTCATGAATAATAAGATAAAATAACATTCAAAAATTTTTAGTGAATCCAAAATTGGGTTACAACAACAAGCTCATGGAGATTGTTTCAACCCATAAATGGATTTGTGAAGTTGACACACTAAATAGGATATGAATTTTAAGGGTAATTAGGGGGCAACTTCATGTAGACTTCTTTTTCAACGTTTTCATGCAAAAAGGCATTCTTAATATTCATTTAACATATCAACCATTTATTATTCATAGTCGCTAAGAGCAAAACATGAATAGTGTTTATTTTTGCAACAAGTGCAAAAGTTTCCTTGTAATCTACACTGAAATTTTGAGTATAGCTCTGAGCCATAAGACATGTCTTATATCTATTAATAGACCCATCTGAGTTTAACTTGATTTTATACACCTAGCGACTACCCACAACATGTTTATCTTTAAGAAGTTTAACAACACTCCAAGTTTTGTTTTGATCAAGATCTTGCAGCTCATCATGTATAGCATACCGCCATTCATTTTATGAATTTGACTCCAGAAAATTATGTGGTTCATGCACATCAGAGATAACAACAAAAAAGTTAATATGTTATGCTGAGAGATGATAATATGTAAGGTAATTAAAGATAGGATGTCTTGCTGCATAAGTTACAAAGTCTTGTAACTTTATTGGAGGAGCATGATGACGGGTTGGATTCCTATAGGGCTGTAGAAAGGGAGAATAATTGGTAGGATTACCTTCAGAATTCATGGTAATAGGAACAATGAAGGGGTGATGAGGAGATTAATCAACAAAACGATCTTCAAATTTTGAGATGATAAGAATGACAGTTCTTGAGTCAGAATGCATATCTACAGTTGTGATGGATAAGTGCTTATCGTGATTGTTATTTTCATCAACTTTATAATCTACAGGGCTATGTTCAAAGTATGCATTAGAAGGACTAACATTCCCTTTATTTGTAGCCATACCATTAGGGGGAAAAAGAGTGTTATCTGTACCAGATATTGTATCTGAAGCAGAGGCCAAGTCTGTAAAAGCAACATTCGGTAGAGGAAACAATTCTGTCAAGTCTTTTTGGTGATTTCTGCTAAAGTATAAAAAACCTTATTCAAATCAAACATCTCTTGATATGAACAATCTTTTAGAGGGAGGATGGTAGCATTTATATCCCTTTTGTGTTGAGGAGTAACCCAAGAAAACATGCTTAACTGCCTTGGATCAAGCTTGTCTTAATATGAAGATTGTATATGAACAAAACAAGTGCGCAACCAAATACTCATAAATGAGATAGATCAAGTGGTTGTTTTTGCAAGACTTTAAAAGGTGATTTAAAATGTGACATTCAGTTAGGTAGTCAATTGATTAGATATATCATAGATAACACTTTGTTAAACCAAAATGATTTAGAAATATGAATGTGTACAATTAAAGTTCTAGTTTTTTTTTTCTAATAGATCTCTATTTTTATGCTTAGCTAGACCATTTTGTTAAGGTGCGCCAACATAACTTGATTGATGTAAAATTCCATGAGTAGCTAGATATTGTGTCATATTTTTTGACATGTATTTAATGTCATTATCAGATTAGAGAATTTTTATGTTTGTAGAAAATTAAGTCATAACCAGCATATAAAAATTTTAACAAACATTCATAATTTCACTCTTGAATTTCAAGAGGTTAATCTATGTAACACGAGAGAAATCATCCATAAAGGAAACAAAATATTTATAACCATAGTTCCAAGAAAGATTCTAAATAGCTGAATATTTTAGTAATATGATTTTCCATAGAATTAAATAACCAAGACATAACAAGTTGGTCCTTACATTGCCGTGCTTCATAAGCTTATGAAGGAGAATCAGGAGGTCTAATATGGCCATTAACATAGCCAGGTTTTAATATGGCCATTGATATACCCAAATTTGGATCTTCTACCCATAGCTCTTGACAAAGAGAGATAGTTAAATTTATTTAGTAAAACTTAGCCTAAATGTTGATTAGGATTTGGCTCTCCTTTCAGCGTATTATAGGATCTATTAGTGTCATAAACACTATTAATTTTGAACAAGTCTTCTATAGGAATTTCAACTAATCAGTAAGGTTTGAAATCAGCAAGGTATTAAGAACCTACTCTGATGCCATGAAGACAAAAGAATCTTGTATTATGTTTTATGTTACAACAACACATACATACCACAAAAAGGCATACATACCACGAGAAGGCATGATAGCTATTAAAATTAAAACTCTGCAATCTACAATCAATGTTGGAGTTGGATTCTTTAATTTTTATGGTAAGATATCTGTGTTGCAGGAGGAGTCTGTGTTGGAATCATAATCAATTTGTTATATTAGAATCAAATTTAATTTATTGATTTCCTCCTATACATATATTTAAAATTTATGGTGAGCTTTATACCTAATTATTTTTATTTTTAAAGCTTTGGTACAATCTCTACAATACATTGATAGAGTACATATATAAAGTAAGTGTTTGTGTTGTACTAGAAGATAAACTTCTGTTTCAAAGTAATTATTTGAACTCAATACATTTTTAATCTCAAATTTGTATTTGAAAGTAGAGATATATTTTTAATCTTATCACAATTCTAAGTAAAAGAAGATAAATTTATTTATTGCACTAAAATTACAAAAATAAATTAATCTTGAAGGAGCATTCATGGACATTAAAATTTCAATAAATTTGGTCCAAGATTCAAATATCTCTATGACCAAACAAATTTATTGGGTTTGGAACTAAATTAAATTAAAAATTCAGTTTCAAATACATTTCATGGTTTTTATTTTAATATCCTTCTATCTAAGAGTATTTTAAGTAATTTTGATATCAATTTTTCTAAAATATCATTTAAATGAAAGATATTTAAGGTAAATTACACTTAACTTGTTTATAAATAAACAAGAAAACCACAAAATCAAACAAAACAATAAGAGAAAGTAGGAAAAAAAAAAAACAACAAGCAAGGACTAAAAAACAAGCATAAATATTTAAGAGTTCTCTTAAAAAAAATTCAAGTTCATCAAGGAAACAAATGATCAAAGTCTTTCCCTGCATTAAATTAAATCAAGTTAAAATCTTACATTATTAATTAAAATTTTTGAACTCATGTTTTAATTTTGGAAGAACTTCTAGTTTATTGACAAAAATTCGATTACTTTTTGTAATTTATAGTTATAAAACTTCGATCTATCCTAGGTTAATTCGAGATTTAAGTGACCCAGATTTAGACTATTCTACATTGAATAAATAAATAAATAAATTGACATGACCTGGCCTCGTTAAAATTTAGGTCGGTTAGAGTAAAACTCAATTCTAAATTTATTGATTTTTTATGAGTTTTTTTTTTGTTAAAACAATATGGTTTTTATATGTTTTAATATTTTAGGTTAATCTGAGTTGATCTTCTCGACTCATTACATGAATTTTGATTTAAATAGACACTGAATCGAGTTTTAAAACTATGCTTCAATCCTAAAGTATGTTTGTCTCTTCGATGGCAAGTTAAACTCACTTAACTTTTCTTTTTCTTTTTCATTTTATTTTTAATAGGCCAAGAAGAAAAGGAGAGAACACAAATGGGAAGTAGCAAAGTAGATATAAAAACATAAAAGAGAAAAGAAAGAAGTTTTGCTAACAATAAATAAACAAACAACTTCACTTTTCATTATGTAGTCCTAGATATAGACTAGTTTGGATTGAATAAATAAATAAAAATTCAGCATGACTTGACCTAGTTAAAAATTCAGGTGAATCTAAGTAAAACTCAATTTGATTCATGACATGAATCTTGCTTCAAATAGATACCGAAACAGGTTTTAAAACTATATCTCAATCCTAAAATGTGTTTGTCTCTTCGATGGCAAATTAAAAAATACAGATAGAAATAAACTCACTTAGCTTTTTTTCCTTTTCATTTTATTTTTAAAAGGCCAAGAAGACAAAAAAGAGAATACAAACAAGGAGTAGCAAAGGAAACCCAACACAAACATAGAAAAGGAAAGAACAAAAGAAAGACATTTAGCTAATAATAAACAAACAAACATCTTCACTTTTTATTATTTAGTTGGTAAAATTGGTAATATAATATCAGTAGTTAAAATAAATTAAATTTTAATAAGGATTAAATTCTCTCCCTATCCCTATTATATAAACACTTAATATAATACTATACAAGAAAAGGTTGAATAAGAAAATTTAGATTCTACTATAATTATATATTGTCATGTTTTACGCTATCGAGTATAACTCTCAATTTGACTATTGAATTAGGTAGAAATTTAACCAAGAGCTTTCAACCATAATATTTTGAATAATCTTGTATTTTGTATGATGTAACACTTTTCTCTTTAGTTAAACAAAGAACAATCAAACTTATTAAAGTATAACTGACTTTGTGGCGTTATTCCTTATATTTCTCATTCAAGAATTGATATTCATAGAATGAGTGTTCTTAGTCCAATAGTGTTGGTGTTTTGAGATAAGTTTTCATTATATTATACTCCTATAAAACCTGATTCTTTGGCTTTCGAGGACTTATGTTTCTTACGTATAGGTTACGTGAGCACGAGATTTATATCAATTGATATCGGAGCTTGACTTAATTTATCAAGTTATATCCTCTTTATTTTTTTTTCTTAAATGTTTTTTTGCATGTGTATTCTTCTTGTTTTTCTTTTGTCTCGTTTTAAGTTTGATTTGGTTAAAGTTCTATTTGATCCTATTTTTTCCTCTTCTTTTGTTATTGTCTAGCTTTGCATTAAGGATCATTTGATATAAAAAAGATTCCAACATTTTATTTTTTCCGCAATATCTTTTTAGAGTAAAAAAAAAAATCACAACAAAGGGTTCACTAAGGAAGAAAGTACAAAGAAGGGTTATCGTTCATGAACACATAGACCCATGGGGTTTTAAGAAAATAATTTGATAAGTTAAAATATCTATTTTATAAGTGGAAAGCTTCAAAGCAGAGAGGACCAATAACACTGAAATGACAAAAGACAAAGAGAAGGGTTGCTATTTTCATACAAAGTTGTTAGAGGATAGTGTTAGTAAGAAAATAGCCCTGAAAGCTTAAATAAGAAACTTATAAAACATCTATTGTATCTATTAGTGATTTGAAGATGAATTATTTTTAAGAGATAAAGAATGATATGATCTAAGAAAGGGTAGAACAAGAAAATTTAGATTCTAGCATAATTGTGTCTATTGTCTAGTTTTACGTTATTGAGTATAACTTTCAATCCGACTATTGGATCAAATTGAAATTTAGCCAAAAGTTTTTAATCATGATGTTTTGAATAAACTTGTATTTTGTATAATGTAAATCTTTTCTCTTTTGTTAAACAAAAAACAATCTAACTTCTTAAAGTATAACTAATTTTGTAGCATTTTTTCTTAAACTTCTTATTTAGAATGAGGATTTTTATTCCAATATTGATGCATTGGAAAAAATTTTCATTATATCAAATTTCTATTAAATCTGATTTTTTTGACTTTTTGAGATTTTTCTTTTTCATACATGAGTTATGTGACCATGTGATCATGAGATTCACATCATAATCTTTATAAGATTTGCACCTTAAACAAAGATACAAGAGAAGATATATTTTCTTAAGATTTTACAAAATACTCAAGTCATTGAAAAATATTCCTAAAAAAATGACATGGAAAATTTAGATATTATATGACAAAAATATACCCTATTTTAGTAAATAATATTAAAGATATATGATTTTGTAAATAAGATTTAAAAATTATTTAATTAAGGAAAAAAATACAAGGTTGTTCAAGATCATTATTGAGAATTTTTTTTTTGTAGATATAGATCATAATTAAAAAAAAAAAAAGGAAACTTGTTCTAAATTAAAATTAAAAAAGAAAAAGTTCAATGTGAATCCTTGAAAATCCAAACTAAAATATGCTTATCAAACCCCTCATTTCAATTCATATAATCTAGGGAAATATATTTAAACTCATTTAAAGGTGAAGCTACATTTAGTTTTGAGCTTTTTAGTAATCTAAAAATAAATACAGAACTGATTAATAATCTGGATTTTTAAAGGTAAAAGTTTCTCTTAAATAGAGATTTTTTAATGATTTTGCAGGTCAACGTAATGATTTATAAGTTAAGTTTTGAATCAATGAGTTAACTCAGTAATTTATTAAGTTAAGGCATAATCTTGAATGAATTAGTTGAAAATTTTAATTTTTTTAAATAAAAATTAAATTAACCATATCAACTTATTTAATCTACAATCAAGATTTTAGACAAGATAACCTATATCAACGTACAATAAATAGTCACTTATCTGTCTATCTTACAAATAGATTGGTTGATGAGTGATAGCACAATTGATTATATGCTTAACATGGTGATAGTTTTTGCTATTATAATTTATTTTTAATAAATAAAATTTAAAAAATATATAAATTATAGATTGTGTTTAATAAAGATCCAAGAATTTTAAGTGAACCTATGCAAAACTATGTAATTATTTTATTAACCAAACGTGAAAGAATTTATGGTTGAGGCAAGACACAACCTAAACCACATAAAACACATAAACAAATGACTCTTAGTTGTCTGAGACAATAAAAATAGGCATTATTAATTAAATAAACTAAATAAGGAGATTAATGACTTCTAATAGAGATAAAACTGCAAGGGTGAAGACTTCTTCTAGAATCATGAAAAAATACGCAAAGCAGCTATTGTCCCTTCATTTTTTTAATTTTTGTTTTTGGATTTTTTTTCTTTTTTTATTTATTAATAGCACCCGGTTTGTTTTTGTCACCTCCTGCTTTGATTTTCTTTAAAAAAAATATATATGTGGTACTTAAATATTTAATTATATTTCCATAATTGTTGAAGTCCATCTTTAGCCAAGTTGATTCGGTCACCGGCCATGTATAATTTTTCATGACAAAAAAGCCCCCAACTATCCTTGGATTTTACCAGTTAACGTGAAGTTAACAAGGATAAAACTGTACTTTATTCTATTTTATATGTATTTTAGGTCAGGTTTTCTTGTCCATCTATTCTAATCCCTAGAAACAAAAATAATTAAAATTAAGAGAGAGATTAACATATTTTATACATTGATAATTCCTCTATTTTTTTGTTAATTAAATAGGGTTTAGTGTTAAAAGCTTCTTCTATATTCTCATATCATTTTGCGTATCTCCCTCTCTCTCTCTAACTCACTGTAGGTAAGTTTTTTTCTTTTTTATTATTTTTTTCCTCTAAAGCCTCTTGTGCTTATATAATATTAAAATCTCTGCTAATCTCTCTTAATTCCACATCTTGGTTTCTATTCTTTATCATTATATTAAACATAACACATGAACCATAAAGAGTACTACATTGTTAATTCACATTACATTCAAAGATTTATATTAAAAATCCATTCTTTGTATTATTTATGCATATATATTTGTCCTCCATTAAGGAAGAAATCAAGAAAGTCTGGTTCTTGAATCTTGATTTTGAAGATTCAAAGATGGGTCTTTTTGACGAAGGTGGATTCTGTTTCTCCTTGCTTTCTTGATTCATGGACAAGTACCCCCAGAACCTTGGCTCTGCAACACTGTTGTGTCAAATGCAACAGATAACAAAAAGAAACTAGAGGATTTCATTACATGTAGTTACATACCAAGATAAGTATTTGTGTGCGCGCGTGTTTGCATGTGCATTTACTTAGGCAACCCATATCTTTAATGTCAGGCAAGGTAATAGGCCTGTGAAACCGTTGTCCATTTAGAAAAAGCAAAGTCT